CGGGCTGGCTCTCCAGGCACCCACTCCATCATCACCCGCTCTATTTCCATCACTTGGGACAGATGGCAGGAAGTAGTGGTGGGTGTCACATCGTTCAAGCCCCAAGCATTTGGGACGGCGGGGGGGCTTTGAGGTGTCTTGCTTCTCCACCCACCCCTGGGCACTGACAGATGCAGGCCTGGCAGCTCGCCTTGCAAGGAGGGCCGAGTTTGTCACACGTTCCCGAGAACCTGCACACACATGGCCCTGGGCACCACCCTATCAGAACAAGGACAGCTGGGGCAGGAGAGGGGAGAGCTGGGCTGTCCTGCCCTGCCCTGGTGGCTGCAAGCTCGGCCGGGGCACCAGCCCTCCAGCAGTGAGGGTCACTCCACACAGGGGGTGACTCCAGCTGTTCACTGGCAAACTTCTCTTGTCTGTCCTCGCTCTGCTCGGTAACCAGAAAACAACGGCATTGCAACTCCCACCATTCACTGAGCTCTTGCTATGAGCCAGGGACGGGGTTCAGGGGGTGCTCTAGGAGCTCACTGGTCTGGGAGGCCGGTGATATTGTCCCCAGGAACATGGGGAGCCTATGACACCAGGAGCGAAATGACTTATCCGAGCACACTCAGCTGATGCACGAAGGGGCCGGGACTCACCCGGGATCTGCCATGTGCAGAGCAAAGGCTAGTCACCGGGAGGGACAGTCACGCTGCCACCCCTGCCACTGCCCTCTCCCAGCCAGGGCCTTTCCCTACCCAGGGTGGGAGATCAGGCCCTTCCATACCCCATGTGGGGGACCAGGGCCCTTCCATAGCCAATGTGGGGGACCAGGGCCCTTCCATACCCCATGTGGGGGACCAGGGCCCTTCCATACGCAATGTGAGGGACCAGGAACTGTGACAGGCTGGCAGTCGGTGTGTGTGCGGGCTGTTTATGGGGAGAACTGCATTGTGGCACTTTTGGTGTTGGCTGCACCTTGACCCTGAGTCCCCTGGATCTCCGCTGCCCAGGCTCCCACTAGGTCAGCGCAGGGCCCTGAGCTTAGGCAGGGTCCTGGAAGAGGCTGCAAGCATATCTCTGGCCCAAACGGAGCGACTGAGGCCCAGAGAGGGGATAGACCCTGCCTAACCTCTGGGTCAACAGGGCAGAGTTGGGGCCAGAGCTTGGTTCCCCGAGGCCACTGCCCAGAGTGCCCCCCCCCCCAGTGAGAGGACCTTAGAACAGGGCCAGGACATGCTGGGCACAGGGCATGGCATCAACAGCGGAGTGCACTCGGGTCCGCCCTGGAGGTTTGCCCGCTGCCCACGTGCCGGGAGGAGGTGGTGCAGGACTGC